TTGGCTACGGAACACATGATCACTCGCGCATCCTTTTTATTTTTTTATTTTTTTTTTTTTTTTCGTTTGTACATGCACAACACTTGCTTCTGAGAACCAATTCAACGCCTTGTTGATCGCATTTGTGACGAGATTTTCATTTCTGTAATGATAAATAATTCAATGGAAGATTGTATCGTATTTCATTAATTTATTGTATTTCATTAATTTATGATCCTTTTTCTTTTCAAAAAGAACTAGAAGAGCATAATATAGGAAGCACTTGGATTCCGTCCTCTTTGGAACATATACTTATTTGTTATCTTACGATTATTTTCTTTCTATCAATTTTCTCTATTCGTTTAAAATTCAAGTTTTTCAAATTTTGATGGGGGAGGAAAAAAAATGACTTGATGAAATCTCAAGTTTTTATTGATAAATAAAATCGATTAGAATCTCGTCACTCCTGCGATTAATCTCGCAATAACCGTGTCGCAATGATCATAATTAATCATATAACGCGAAAAAAAATCCTCCATCTTCTTTAAACGATACAATCTACAAAAAAAAAAAAAAAAAACATAACACACGTATCTTTCCTTCAAACTTTCTTCAAACAAACACGAAACCCGATACACGAATAAAAAAAATCAAAAAAAGGGAAAAAAACAGATTTTCAAACGTCAACGATATTGTGGTACGGTTACTGTTATCGTGAGAATCGATAGGCGATAGGTGCGATAGCGATCCCTTGAGGATTGAAATTCGTTGAAGCGGGTCGAAGAAAGATTCTCTTCTCTCACTCTCCTCCCTATCCACGTCCTCCCGCGATATCTGTCCATCCTTCTTGTTCCTCAGGGGGAGGGGAAGAGCCTCTCAAACGGACACCCGTCGCGGCAGTTGTTGTTGCGAAAACGTACTACTGACACCGGTCGACGGTCGTCAGATACTTGCACGGTGTTGATGCAACGGAGGCAGTTGCAGCAACGGCGTCAACGGCGGCGGGCGTAGTTCACTGCGCACATTCAACGTGGGCAGCTGCTGCATCGGCAGCAGGTGCGATATCTTACCGGGCGAGCGACGTACGGTGAACCGTGGTCTCCGTCGTTTCTTCTGGAATCCGCTGCAGCAGCAGCTGCAGACCGACGTCTCGTCGTCCAGCGATATCGTGTCACCGTGGTTCCCTACTTGGCCCGACAGTATCGAGCCGTTCGCCGTTATTACGTCGCCCTCCAGGCGCACCGCTCCTTGCGCAGCCTGCGTCATACAACAATTTTCCTTTCTTTTTCTTTCGTTTTTCATCAATCGTTTGATACCGTTTGAACACGTTTCGATACGGTTTCGAAACGTGTTCCTGGATTTCGATCGTTTCAATTCGGTGAAGGGGTGGGCTTGGGACAGGGGAAGGGTAAAGGGGAGGTCGGGATCGCGAGGGGTTCGCATCTGGAAGATTTTCTTGTATTGATTCGCGGGGCTAGGTTCAGAGTACCGTGGAGGCTGAGTATACCAACCCTTTGCGATCCGGCATCACGTGCAACGTGGTAATAATATGACACGGAGTAGAAATTGTTGCCTCTGTTTTTTAAATCAATTATTTAATTGATATAGTAGGTAATTTTTAAATGAGTGTTTTTTTTTTTTTTTTTTTTTTTTTGGTAATGACTTAATATTGAAATATTGATGATAGAATTTATTTAATGATTCTGGAGACTTGAAATCGAAGTTTTTCAATTGGAATTGCAATTTTTCCGCAGAAATGAACTATCTATCGTATATAAGCACTTTGCTTAATTTCTTCTTCCATGCAGACGGATCGCAAAGGATTATTTCAAAAATTTCGATCTTAATTTTTTGAAATAAAAAAAATATACACGAAACAAAATATTATTCATCGAGAATGATGTATACATCAAAATTATATTATGAGAAAAAGATATTTTTTCCCCTTCCTCCGTCTAAAATATTTTTTCAAAGATCAATACTTTGATGGACGACGTAAAAAGCTGATATGATGTTTCCCTTACCTGTAGAGCCTCAGCCTCGTCTCGCCTTTCGTCCTCCGTATTCATTGTGACAAATCTCAGCACTAATAAATTGAGGGAGGCGGCGACTATGGCCAAGCCGAATAAAATGAATATCAGGGCGAACATCACGTATTCCGGCTTGTTGTTTAGCGCGTTATCCTTTTGCAGCGCGACCATATCGCCGAAACCAATGGTGGTCAGGGTGATGAAACAATAATAGATGGAGTCGAAATACGACCACCCTTCGTATCGAGAGAACGCAGCGGCACCTCCCGCAATCGTTAAGCAAGATAAGGTCGTCACCACGCAGATGAGATTTATTTCTGAGGCCTGAAAATGATACAATTTTTCTCGATTTTATCATCTATTATATATTCTTCGTAATACAATGCTTCGTTCTGTGTATTTTATCAAAAATTTTTCATATCTTTTTTCATATCTTTTGAAATAATGTTGGAATCGTTTCTTCCATGTGTGTTCAACAATAGAATGGACAAATTTGTGTTAGTTTCTTTTATATAAATTTAAATAGTTCTAAATTTAAATCACAGACACAAGTGATACTTGATATAATGTTTGAAGAAAAATATTGAACCAATGAATATATTGCTCTTTGCTCTTAATTCTGTTGATTGGAAAAATAAGAAAAATTTGTTGACAAAATAAATTATCACTTAACACTTGAGAATTTAAAAATATTTATATTCTGAAAATTTTTCTCCAATTCTGATATAATATTCCGATTAATTAATTTAATTATCTTCTTTTTTTTCATTCACAAAAAGTATCTCTCTTTTCTCGAGATTAAAAATTAAAAAATATCAAATCGAACTTTGGTATCGATTGGTTTGGTTTAATAACGAATTATTTTAGCTATAGAATCTATATAATTTTACCTGGACATCCTTACAGTTAAGTAGCTTCTTTACGTTCCGTATAACGACGGACGAGAATTTATTCAAACGCTCTCCTATGCTCTGGAACATTACGAGCCCTAACGGGATACCAACGATTGCGTAGAACATCGTGAACAGCTTACCGCTTATGGTGTTCGGCGTCGAATGTCCGTAACCTAAGAAATCAATCGATAAAGAAACAAGGTAAATCCATTCGACGAATTTAATAATCGAATGTCGAAAGAAATCGAAAAGAAATTCAAAATGGAAGCAATTTTTCGTGAAATAAAATGGAGATGAATTCGATATTATTCCAATATGGAATAAACACATTTTATTCCATATTGGAATCTCTAATGGGTTTAACAGTCTTAAATCGTGTTTTTGGACACATCTCGTTATAAAAATATTTTTTAAATTTTTACAAAGACTATTTGATTAGAAAAGGGGATATATTTAAAATCATTATGTATGAATATTTTGAAATGAAAACGTACCAATAGTGGTGAGGACCGTGATCGCATAATAAAACGCTCCGGCAAATTTCCACTGTTGACCTGCTTTATGAGGTTCCGTCTTCAGCACCACTGTTTCCATGATCTTGAAGTCGTCCTCGCTTATATTGTACTTGCGTATAACCATTTTTTCAATGGCTGTTAACAAAAAAAAATATCAAAAAAATATTATTTTTATATTCTGCAAAATTAAAATTATATTTTTTTTTATAATTCAAATATATTTTTTTCCTTAATATTTTTTGATTCTATATTCATAGTATCGATATTCTCAATGTAATCAATTTTAAGCGAGACTTGTTTCTTTACAGTTTGTAAAATTGCATGGAATAAATAACAGAGGAACAATTGGGAAATCTTTTTTGCTGTTCATAAAGTGACAGAAAATCAATTATTTTAATAAAATTACGCTTCAAACGCTGCGATCTATTCTTCCTTGCCTTAATTAAAATTCTATTCCTCGATATGAGAAATATCATTTTGAATCGTGAATGGATTGTCCACTTTCATGCAAATATTTTTTTATATTACGTATGTTTTGCATGTTTTGCATAAATGCATGACGCGACATTTAATCCAAAAATTGTGTAACACGTGGAAGATCCACTTTACTTCAACAATCAAACGACTTCTTAAATTAAAGTTCAGAGTTTATTACTTAAGATTGTTATTAAAATAATATTTTTCCAGAAATAAACATATTTACCGCGTAAATTTATTTTAAAACTCGATTAAATTCTATTCAAAACAGAAAAATTTTAAGCGGCTACAACTCCAAAGATAACTTCCGGTCAACAATGAACCATCATTAGAAGCGCAAAACTTTACCCTTTTAATTTTTAATTCTTTATTATTTCCATTTTTTCCTTTCCAGACGAATAAAAATTACTTAATAAAATTCACACTCTGTCTTTCCATCGATCATTTAGTAGAATCAACGGAATTACAAAATCGAGAATACAAATCAATTGTTGTAACGTATATTTCCTTTTCCAGAGTTTCAATATTATTATTAAAATTTAAATAATAATCGAATTGAATTCTTAAAAGAATGTGAATTATTTCGTTCTTCTTTTAATTATTCCCAATTTCTCCTAATTAACATCATAACGAAAACGGATGTTGTACCGTCCAATGCTTCCTTGCGTCGTTTCTCCGTCTCGGACTCGAGAACGTCGAAGATTGCAGCGCCGACGAGGAGGTAGGTGAACGTGAAGACGATCAACGATAGGGTCCGGACGTTTTGCTTCTTCATTCTCTAGTGAGCCACATGCTCACTAGCAGGGCCCCGGCCCTAACTACTTGCATCGCTCAGTGGGGTACGATTTGGTGTGCCGGGTCCATGACGACCCCTTCTCCTTTCTGATGATGCTCGGGGGGGCCCCT